TAAAGATATGAGCACGTTTGAATCCTTTCAATGACTTGATACTACCACTACTCCAAGTGATTACCAAGTTCATTACAAAAAGCAAAAAAATTTATCTTTGGGGATATCACAAAGTTTCATTTGGGATAGTATCAACAGCATAAGCATACTACCCACCATACAACAAATACTAAATACAAACCAAACAAAAAAAATAAAATAAAATAACAAACAAACTAAGCACTTCCTAAAAACAAACACACCAAACAAAAGAAATAGGCCATCAAACTACCCACTCCCCCAAACTTAAAGAATGCAATGTCCTCAATGCATGACAAGCAAGAAACAACACACACACCAAAAAAAAATAAAAAAATAAATAAAAAATAAAAAATAAAAAATAAAAATTGAAACTAAAAGATAGAAACTTCCCTGCATGTAGAGGACTGAACACTTAGGAAGGTGGGCTTAAATAGCAATCAAATTTGGCTTCCGGAATGAGGAGGCGATCATTGACATTGTTGATGCTAGTCTCTAATTGTTGCACTACCTGTAAGAGCATCTCTAGAGTCATAGGTGCTTGAGCTTGTGGAGTTAGAACGGCTTGACCTTCAGTGTTCAGCGTAGCTCTCTCTGCGTGAAAGCCTATTGGAGTGTCATTTGCCAAGTCCTTAGGAAGAGACTGAGCAATGTCGGGCAGTGGCAGAATAGGACGTCCCTGTCCGTCTTGTAAAACATATTGACCACGATAGGGAATACACATACGCATAGCAGTTAAGGTAGCAAGGTCAATACGTTCTTTACCTACAATGGGTTCACCTAATTGCTCATCCGAGATGCCGACAGATTTAGCAATAATGGTGATTAAACCACTAATTGCAATCTTACCGGTCCGACCATGTGCTACATAATTCAAATGTCCTAAAAGCCAAATACCGAGTTATGTGTATGGCCTTTCTCCATGCACCATAAACAAAACAATTCACTCTTATTAACAGCCCCTGTACTTTCTCCCCACCCGAAAATGGTATGTGACATGACTCTATGAATGTATTTGTGGGCAGGGTTCCGTAAGTGGGTGGATTTAGAAAAACTAGTATCATATGGTTGTGTGCGTTGTGTGTTGATACAGTGGCACCAAGCTACGTTTTCAACATATTCAGGACGAGGACTTTGCTCCTTTTGTAGTCTTTCGTTTCTTTTGTGGACCCATTAAGTGCGAAAGTTGATATGCCTACATATAAAACCAACAAAAATAAACTGAAACAAGACAAAAAAAGAAGAATGAATAGCAAAATGACAATGGCAAACACCCATATCCAACAACCAAACAAGATACGTACATCCCCTGTTTAATAGTGACAAAGTACACACTGAAACTAAACAACTGACAGAAAAATGTAAAAAGAAACACAACTAAGACACGAGGCGAAGAAGAAAGAAATTCAGCTTGACCCCACCGAAGTATAAACCCACAACAACTAAAGCAATCTATGGCAAAAAAAAAAAAAAAAAAAAATTAATTAATGATTCCACCAAAATCAAAGAAAGGCAAACAATAAACGTACCTTAAAAGAGAAAAGGACAAAAAGAAAAAAAAATTGCACAAGGTTCAAACAAAAAGAAAACAAGGTTGGGAGAAGATGGCTGGAGCAGCGGGCAGCAAGTGAAAGTGGGAAGAAAGAAAATCGTTTTTTTTTTTTTCTAGGGTAGGCCCACCACTTTTCCTTTTCCTTCTTTAAACTTTTTGTTTTGTCCTTTTTTTTTTTCGTTGTTTCCTTTTTTTTTTTTTTTTTTTTTTAGAAAAATAATTTGTGGGGTCATGGTCCCTCACATGGGCCAAGCCATGTGACATACCATGGGGTAACCTGTGGTTTCTATTGCAATTTTTTTTTTTTTTTTTTTTTTTTTTTTTTTTTTTTGTTAGAAGCCACGGTTGTGTAAAGTGACACAGGTACCCTGTGTTCTAGTCTGCTGAAATTGTCTTCTTCTTCTATCACGTAAGCTTCCCCCAACTGTTCCTCGTTCTGACGATAACACACAAAAATAATAATAAATAAATAAAACACAATTAAACAAAAATAAAGAATTGTAGAAAAGAGAGGAAAAGAAAAAGAAAGAAAAATAAATAAATAAAAATGTGCATATACAGTCTTGAAAAATTCACTATGCTTATGTGCTTATTTTTGAATGACTACTCTGCTGTTTTGAGCTACTTAGTAACCAGGAGTATTCATGAGACCCATGTTTACTTTTGCGTCAAACCGTAGCTTGAATTATGAGTATGCAAACACTTTATATTGTGGACGTTGCTGAGTAACCGAGGCATTCATCACAAATGTGTGCATTCGCGTAAAAGGTGATGTGAAAATCTAAAGAGCCTCTACAAAAAAAAAAAAAAAAAAAAAAAAAAAAAAAAAAAAAAAAAAAAAAATGGAACAAGATCTAAAGTAAAGCTAAACTAATGATTTCAATATTGCCTGACTGCAATCCCCGGCAACGGCGCCAAAAACTTGTTGTGTTGTTTGCAACAACTACTAGCAACCAGATAGCTTGTTCAATACTTTTTCCAATGGTGGGTGGATCGTCCGATTCTGACACTGGACGCGCTCGAAACAAGCTGCCGAAGTTCTGATAGTGAGAACGAACAGATTTGCAGATTCTGTGAATTTTCATGGCCAGATCCCAGTGAAATAAATAGCGACCATAGGCAGTGATGAAACTACCAGATAGCTCGGTCAATACTCTTTCAAAAGGTGGGTGGATCGCCGATTTCAACACCGGATGGGCTCAAAACAAGCTGGCGAAGTTTCGGCAGCGAGAACAAACAGATCTGTAGATTCCGCAAAATTTCACGGCCAAATCCTACAGAAACGAAGCAGCGAACACAAGCAGTGATGGAACAACCAGATAGCTTGTTCAATACTCTTCCCAACGGTGGGTGGATCGTCCGATTCTGACACTGGACGCGCTCGAAAGAAGCCGACGAAGTTCTGACAGCGAGAACAAGTTGAGAACAAAACACCTAGAAAAATTTTCTCCCTCCCCTAAACCCTAAACCCAAACCCTAAAACCAAAACTCAAACCCTTTCAAACCTTAACCCCTAAACCATGAACCCTAAATCGTAAACCCTAACCCCTAAACCCTAAATACTGAACACTGAATCCTGAACCCTAAACCCTAACCCCTAAACACCGAACCTTGAACCCTAAACCCTGAACCCCTAATCCCTAAGCCTTGAACCCTAAACCCTAAAACCCTAAACCCTAAACCCTGATCCCTAAACCCTAAAACCCTAACCCCAAAACCCTGAACCCTAAACCCTAACCCCTAAACACTGAACCTTGAACCCTAAACCATGAACCCCTAATCCCTGAACCCTGAAACCTAAACCCTAAAACCCTAAACCCCTAAACCCCAAACCCCAAACCCCAAACCCTAAACCCCAAAACCCCAAACCCCAAACCCTAAACCCTAAACCCAAAACCCAAAACCCAAACCCAAAACCCAAAACCAAAACGAAAACCAAAACCCCAAACCCTAAACCCTGAACCAAAAACCCTAACCCCTAAACCCTTAAATCCTAACCCCTAACCCCTAAACCCTGAACCCCTGAACCTTGAACCCTAAACCCTCACCTCTGAACCCTGAACCCCTGAACCCTAAAAACCCTTAACCCTAAACCCTGAACCCCTAAACCCTAACCCCTGAACCTTGAACCCTAAAAACCCTAAAACCTGGAACCTTAAACCCTGAACCCTTAAAACCTTGAACCCTAAACCCTAAACACTAAACCCTAAACCTTAAACCCCTAACCCCTAAACCCTTAAACCCTAACCCCTAAACCCTAAACCCTAACCCCTAACCCCTAATCCCTAAACCTTGAACCCCTGAACCCTTGAACCTTGAACCCTAAACCCTGACCCCTGACCCCTGAACCCCTGAACCCTAAACACTAAATCCTAAACCCTGAACCCTAAAAACCCTAAAACCTTGAACCTTAAACCCTGAACCCCTAAACCCTAACCTCTGAACCTTGAACCCTAAAAACCCTAAAACCTGGAACCTTAAACCCTGAACCCCTAAAACCTTGAACCCTAAAACCCTAAAACCCTAAACCGTAAACCCTAAAACCCTAAACCGTAAACCCTAGAACCCTAAACCCTAGAACTGTAAACCCTAAACTCAAAACCCTAAAACCCTAAACCCTAAAACCCAAAACCCTAATCCCAAAACATTAAACCCAAAACCCCTAAGTAACCATGGTAAATAGTTCTGAATCCTCATTTCCCTAGAACCGTCTCAAAGTTATTAGTCATTCTCACCACATTAGAGTATGAGAACCTTTGATTTTTCAATTCCAATGACCCCTTCTTCCTCGCTTAAAAAATTTGCTAGCGACTATTTATCCTCAAATTCAAAATACTTTGAATGTATGTACTGAAACATCAAATAGATGATGTACTGGTGTAAGCATCGACCGGTACCTTTTTTCATTCTTTGGATCAATAAAATTGCCAATGTTGCAGATAAAATCACAGCAATAGCAACAGCAACAACTGGTGCTACCATGGGAACAATATTAGACTTGTTTTTCTCTTTGCATGAACCAGGGGAACAAGAATTTGAATTTCCATTCACTCTAGAATCAGAACTTGAAACAATAGCAATGACTAATTTAGTACTTGGAGATACTCCAATCCTACATTCCAAATGCAATCCATATAAATTTTGATCATTAACAACCGTAGACAAAAAATGAATCTTTTTCCTGTATAATATGAATAGCAAATTGCGAATCATAAATATACTTCTTTACCTTGTGCTGCCTCTGTTGCTATTCGAAGTCTCCCTTCCCATGTCAACATGTACGCTTGGTTTTTTGCATATGCACCGAATATCAGTCTATTATCTTTGGATAATTAAATAACTTTCCTCAAATTTAATCGACTAAAATTTGGATGGACAGAGTCTTATATAGTAGAGAATGAATTAATACAGAAACCTGTGAGATTGGTTTCTAAGTCTCCATTGGCCGTGAGCTCATGTTGGGGCCCTCGTCACAGTATCCAACAAGGGCTGTCAAGTTTTTACGATGAACTCTCATTAGAAGTTCAACCTTTGAAGAAAACATCCATATCCTCAGATGATTGACTAGACAACTCATAAATTCCGCACAAGTTAATTATTTAATTTGCAAATGTACCTCGGCTTGAAATTCCTTGTATCCTTGAGCTGATGATAGAGAGAGCATCTTCACAGCTACTTGAGTGTCGTCTAAGTAACCGTGGTAAACAGTTCCGAATCCTCCTTTCCCTAGAACTGTCTCAAAGTTATTAGTCATTCTCACCACATTAGAGTATGAGAACCTTCAATTTTTCAATTCCAATGACCCCTTCTTCCCTGCTTAAAAAATTTGTTAGCGACTATTTATCCTCAAATTCGAAATAATTTGAATGTATGTACTGAAACATTAAATAAATGATGTACGGGTGTTAGCATCGACCGGTACCTTTTTTTCATTCTTTGGATCAATAAAATTACCAATGCTGCAGATAAAATCACAGCAACAGCAACAACTGGTGCTACCATGGGAACAATATTAGACTTGTTTTTCTCTTTGTATGAACCAGGGGAACAAGAATTTGAATTTCCATTCACTCTAGAATCAAAACTTGAAACAATAGCAATGGCTAATTTAGTACTTGGGTAGATGGAAATATATATACACACACACGAGTCTTTATATATATACACACAAATGCGAATCTTTAACATTATTTCATCTTAACAAAAGTAAACCTTAATATCAGTAAATCCTTCTCTGCTTTTTCTTGGAGTGCAGCTGGAACAGGGCCTTCGAGATTGTTTCCTTTCAAGTTTCTGCAAGAAAACAATAGACATTTGACCCTTTGCTTTTATATTTAATTATGAGAAATAAGCTAGCCTGTCCTACTAATCAAAAGTAACTTACAACAATTTCAAGTTTTGTAGCTGTGCTAAAAACTCCGGCACTGATCCTGTCAGATTATTGTTTGAAAAGTCCCTGAAATGGTGATAGCAAATGTTAAATTGACATGGTTTTCATAAGTTGGACAAACTTACAAATTCATGGTAAAACTGAAATGCTTACAAAGACTCTAAGGAGGTGAGACCGAGTATAAAAGGACTTATCTCGCTAGACAATCCACTCGATGACAAATTCCTGCGAGTATTCAAATCAATAATTTTGTTAACAGTGTTAAATCAAGCTTAAGAAATAAGATGCCCTTTGATTCAAACATGAAAACTTACAGGGATGTGATCATTGGAAGTCCAAAATCATAACGGCAATTAAGACCTTGCCACAAATATAGTTGATGGACACATGGATCTCCTTGCCAACTTGGTCTTTTCACTCCATACTTTCCCTTGATATTTATGATGGCGTCAACTAGTATTTTTACGGGCACGATTAATTTTGGTAAGGATTAAATTAATTGATCATAACCCGAAGACAATGAAAGGAAACCTACCATCTTGTTCATTTGTCATCAATTCTGAGAAATGCTTTAGCCAGTATATCTCCATGGCGTTTAAGATTGGCGGAAGAGTTGACTTCGCAGTTTTTTCCAGTGAAATCTTAATTCTTGTTCCACTGTAGGGAGATAAGTTGTAAGTTAAGTCTGTGGAAGAGGGAAAATAGCCCGGAAACCAAACATCTCCATTAGTAGAGATATTAAATGCTCTAGTCTGGTTTTCTTTTAATTCTTGAACTTCAGCAATGTGCACGAAGATATAATACAATCTGGTGTCGTTAGCCTCCCAAGAAAATTGCAATGATTTACTTGCATTCACCGGCGTGAAAGAAGTACTCATGACCAAAATTGGTATTTGGTAACCACTACTATCATCATTGAGGAGATCAGTATTCGAGGTGCTTATCGAGACACTGTCACTGAAGTTGTATGGGAACCATATGCAATCGCAAACATCATCCTGGTACCTATATATTTAGGACATAGTTTTAGTTGGCAACCAAAGATCAACATATATAATTTAGAAAATATAAAAATTACTAATAGTTACCTGATTGTTTCGTTGGTTGTTGAACCAAGATCATACCTCTCAAAGAGTACTAGTGATCCTGATATTTGAAATGATTCTATTATGTAAGGAGATGATCCATAACTGGAATTTATCAAAGGCCTCACCTCTGATGCTGATATGAAAGGCATTCAAGTGTTTGTGTTTTTAAGACAGACATGTATATAATTGTTCTGGGGCATATGGATGATCTCCTTGGTGACGGGAGTGGCGGCGTCTTTGAAATTCACTGAATCCCATACATCCGACTCCAGAAACAGATTAAAACTTGGTAGGGTATTATTCCAATCATAATTTCCATACATGAATCTTGCTCTGATAAAAAACTTAGCATGGTCATGACCTACAGGTTTTAGGGTGTAACAATTTCTTGATCCTTCAGGAAAGCTTCTAACATTCAAGAATTATCGTTCCAGGGTGTCAGTTTTGTATTCAGGCGATATGCTGTAGCTTTCACCAGTGTCTATCATAGTTACATCCGAATCGTAATTTATGCCTATTTTCTAGTCTGCATATTGTGAATTTTCCGGAATTCCACGGTCTATGCTAATAAAACCTAAGAGAAATGAAGACAGAGAAATTAACAGAGGAAATAATAAATTTAGTTAGTGAATAACAATGAGTAGATATGCAATATGTAATAATTTTAACCTGTTTGATTTTGTGCATGAAGAAGAACTGTCATAGTTACCACGCCAAGCAATGAAAGAATAAAAAGCTTCAGAATCCCCATTGCCTTTTTCGTTTTTTTTTTTTTTTTTCTCAGTATTGAGTGGAATCAATTATCATGGTACAACTTATATAAGTACGATAATTGATATATTTTATTATTTTATAACAAGTCAAACAATTTTCTTATAATAGTTAAGCTTGTTTCCGTTCGGAGATGAGCATAGTATTTAACTACTGATAAGTTACTATCATTCATTATCTATCTTCAGCCTGTAATCTTAAAAAAATTTGATCGTGTTAGATAGTGGCGTTTACCTATAAAATTTCAACAACACAGCTGTGCCAGGAAGAAAAAGTTCATCACCAACCTGATGATCTGTTGGTGAAACTCTTTAAAAAGACTTCAACGAGAAAGTTTTTAGTGGTAGACAAGTTTTAGATTCTTGGGACCAATGACCATGAATCTTCAATTCGGATTATTCCAGCCTTAAATTACGGTATACATGCTTGATTATCATTGGACTAACACTTAAAATAATCTTATAAATTGCATTCAAGTTCCTTCAGTTTTCTTAAGGGTCGTTATTGATCATCCATCACATTACTGTATTAGCACTCAAGTCTTTATAAACTATTCTTTAAGTAGACAAAAAATTAGGAAATTCCTAACTCTTTCTATGAAGAGTTGATGATCATTCATTAGAGAGAACTTAAAGACAACCCTATTAGTAAAAAAACCAGTGTATTCATATATTCTTTCCATTGAAAAACATGGCTGCAGTTATGTAAATCAGATTTTATAATTACAATGAACCTGGAAAAGAAAAATGCAATCGACAATATATGTTCAATAAAATTTTGTTGGCATGAGTTCTTTAAATTTATTGATATGCCAGGTTTACTGGATTACAGGTAAATTCAAGAGGAGGAATAATTAGTGAAGGTGGTATTTGACCTCCAGCATTAATATACAATAATACAAAATGATCATATATACATCACATAAATCCAGCCTGAATAAAGAAATATATAGATCAATTCTTTATTTAACCCTGTTGACTTAATTAACTCTAATATTCTTATATTGTTTTTGAAACTACAGGTTGACTAATTAGTTTATATTATCTCTAACAGTCTGTCATAAACTATATAAAGTTGGATGAAATTTTTGAAAGAATAGAGAGATACAAAACCAAAATAACAATAAACATACAAATCACAAACAATAAAGAGAAAGAACAAATACACACGATTTTATCCTAGTTCAATAAATTAACAGGCTATATCCAACATAGTCAATATTATTATAATACTGTCTCATTTCTCTAGTTTAAAATTAATGTAATTTGTCTTATGATTTATTATTACTCATACAATTGAAAAGTATGCTTACATACTAGGTTTAAAAGACTAAGACCTAATAGTACAAGAATTATTATTCCTAAGCTTAAATCCAGTAATGAATCAATAACTTAAAAAAAATCCTTCACTCTTCAAAGAAAAGACCTAAACTGCCTACGAGCCTGCATGACCCCCAAATACGTCTGCGTGATCTATTAATGCTGAAGTTATCGACAACTACAACAATTTTCACATGTAATTGTCTCTTTCTTTGTATTTAGAGTTCAAAATAAATTATTAAAGCACTACTGGAGATAAATTATTCATGTGACTTTACTAAGCATTTCATTAACAGCACAACTGAGAATTAGAAAAGAATTTATACACTTGGCTTGACCAAGCTTATTTATCTATATCTTTATTTATTTGTTGTTCTTTTGGCAAGCCGTGNAATCAATAAATATTTAACCTGTCTTGACTTCAACTTCCACTCCATTTCCAAAGCTTTACGCCGCAGCTCCTCCATGTCCCATTGCATTTGTGTAAACCTTTCCCTCTCATTTAAAATAGCTTGGTGCAGGTTTTCTTTGCTTTTCTGTTTAGAAGTTTCAAGTTCCACTTCCAAATCCTTAACCTGCACAGATGCAAAAGGTTATAACAACACCATTATATATATATATATATGATTGTATGGCCAGTCAGTAAGGTGTTGTAAAAATTGAAGTTTCTCAAATTTCGGACTTATTTTAGTGCAGAAGTAATTTTTTTCACGCATAAAAGAAAATTCAATTAATACTTAAAATAGTTTATCTATGCCAAATAATTCATATATTTGTAGATAAATCAATATTTAACCTTTGTAATGGAATGAGCAAACAAATAACAAAATTGCAGAAGAATTATTTTTCCCAGGTCTCACATTTAACATGTCTCTAAAAGGAGATAAAAAGAGTACACAACTAAGACGTTAATGCAGTTATGCAACCACATAGCTCAAAATACCAGCAATTATGCAAGTCTTTGAGTGGTAGAGTTTGTGTGTTGGACAATTCTTGCATTTGCATAGGTCCCAAAAGGCTGACTTCGACATTTGAAAGTGCAAAAAAAAAAAAATTAAAAAAGGAAAAAGGATACTGAAATATAAACATATTGATACATTTGCTTAGCTACATTGTGATCTGGATTGTATATTACCCAGCCAGAAACCAGATATAACGTACGTCTACTTACAGATCACAGTCAAGCAACACAACCAGAGTTTAAGATCCAGAAAGGAATATAGCTTTGATACCTTTGTCATAAGGTATTCTTTTACAGCTATTTCTTGATTTAATCTGACTATAAGATCCTCCATGTCAGTTTTAGCAGTTACTAGTCTTCGCTCCATTGTCAAAAGAGTCCTACTCAATTTATGGCGTTGATCCGTTGGAATAACTACTTGTCCATCACCTGAAAACTGCAGATTTGTGTTGCCAAGTTCCATGGTACTTGAAATCTCAGCACATCCATGAAGGTCAGCAGAGCCATCAATAGATGAATTTGGAACACCAGAGTTTGACATTTCACTACCTCTTAAAGAACTTGTGTCACTTCTAACACTTTCAGCTGATAGCTTTCGTGTGTGACCTATTACCTTAGCAGGCTCTGATTCGGAGAAAAGGTCCATTCCATCACCAGCAAGAAATGAAGCTTTAGAAGCATTCCCATTATGTGTATCCTTCCCTAAAACATTATTGAAAGGTTGTCGGGCATGTGTTTTATGCCTAGGAAAACCTTCAAGCTGCTCTAGAATAGTCTGCCCCATGAACAATCCCTCATCAATATTGGACATACCATACTTCACTAGCTTTTCTATGGGACTTGTCAAATCTTCATCCAAAGTTAGATCCTCAATCCCATTTTCTGAACCATCATCCCTTCCTAGCCTTGGAGTTCCAACCTCAGATGTCTCATAAGCAGTATCACTACCATAATCTGAAGTGACTGAGGAACTAGCAGTAAGAGCTGAGCTTGAATGGGTAGGCATTTTAAGCGAAGGAACAGTGCTATTACCAGAAGTATTTGCTTCTGATGAGTTGCGGTTTACATCTTGAAATGCTGAAAAAATAATGCAAAAGGTGAAATTCCAAGATAATTATAACAACTTGTATTATTTCGATGAAGAAGAATATGGTATACTAAAAATCATTACAGTGAATCAATTATATATTTTACGTTCATGAGAGAGAGAAATGTAGAATACAAGATAATTGCTTCAAATTACACGTAATGCAGTAAAATGGCACGTACAAGACCTCGCAGCAGCTTCTAGTTCAAGAAAGGATGCCACTGAAACACTTCGTGATAAATCAATGTCTGACAGCAGCTTTGTCATCCACTCCTCCAAAGAGCACCTTCTCTGCAACAAAACTAAGCCTTTTAAGAATATTAGTCACAGTATAAAAAAAAAGAAAGAGCTCCAATTATTCAAGTCCTGGATGAATCACAGCACACTCATAATTCTATGTTTTTTTACAGGTTAAATGGAAGTTTTCTTAACTGTAGATTGGAGTGTTAGACACAGATGATACAGCTACTTTTCCTACAAGTTTCCCATGAATCATAGCAATATAACTAATGCAAACAAAGGATGAGACTAAAACACATTAGCTACCTCTTCCAAAAGTGCCCTGCTTTTCATACGCAGCAGTCCCTTAGGTGGAGCCGGGGGAAGATTTTTCTTAGGAAATGCCTTTCTAAGCTGCCAGAAAACAAATAACAATAAAAAATATTGCATTAAAAGAAATGCATTAAATGTTCAAAAAACATAAGGAGTGCAAGCACTCTATTTCCATAAAGATGCTAGATCAATGAAGTTACCAAAGTGCATGTTAATTTCCTGTGGATATGAGAGAAACGGAAGTTCAGATGTGGGAAAAAAAATATATATAGACTTACATCATTAAACAACTTCAGAAAATGATTAAATCTTCTCAAGACTCCTCGTGTGGTCGTAATCCCTTCTGGCGATTGTAAACCAACCTGAACCCTGTAAAACTGCCGTTTAAGAATGTTAACATAAAACATGTATAAAGCCAGATTACAATTGTAAAAGAATTGTGAGCATCCAAATAATTGAAAAATCGCCTATTACGTTTATATTAACTCTACCAAGTACATTTAATGTTTAGAAAAGGTTAGAAAATTTTCAAACAACAAAAGCTAAAGGCATTGCCTATTGCTAAAGAAAATTTTTGTTCTTGTACAACTAGAAAATATAACCAATAAGAAAACAAAAATTCAACCATTTGAAAATAAATTAGTATTGTTAAACCCCAAAAGATAGAATAAATACAACATCTAACCCTCGGTATAGACAAATACTGGAGGGTCATTCAATTTGAGTACCACTACAGGATCTGAATCTCTTGATTTTGGTAAGACAACCCACGAAGGTATTGTGACACAGTAACTCCATCCTGTGCGATGATCATGCGGCCAAACAGTGTCTCGCCCGTGCTGTAAAAATAAAAATTAGAATTCAGGATTAAAACTCTTTAGACGGCAAACAGTTTCTAAACAAGGAAAAACCAATCAGCATATTTAAGCAAAATGACATTGGCCAAAATGCCCATAAATGGAAAAAGGTGCTATATGTATTTCTTTCCAAGTACAGTAAGTCGCATTTCTACCAACACCCCGTCAATGTTTTTCAAGAATGACCTCTATCTGCATTTTCAACCTCTAAGTTTGCTATGTTATACACTTCCACACTATTAAGGAAAAAAAAGCATAACAATAAAAACTATCAAATCAGTCTGAGACCGGTAGAAGCTTCATTAGAAAAAAATTAAGCCAGTACATATCCTACAGTAGCCACGATATAGGTATGAAAACTGAACTTACATATTAGAATTTACAAAATACAATTTTCCACTGCAATGCTAATCAGGTCTCGCCCAATCAAACATCCTTGCTCAATTGAACATTAATGAATATGATACAACAATTTGCCAATACAATGCTAATCACGTTTGGCCAATCAAACACTAGCCGACAATAGTTGAACAATCATAGAGAATTGCTTGAAACCATTAAATTATTGACCAATTATATTTATACTGAAACAGAATTTCGATCAAACTTTACATTGTAAATTTACAGGAAGCAAGGTCAAAAGTATAACTAAGATAGTAAGGTTAACAAGGAATTACAGAAATAGAAAGAATCGGGTAAAACGCACCCATTTTCGAGGCGGAGGGCTCCAATCCATCCCCAAAGGCAGCGGCGAAGTCCCATCGTGTCTGTGCTTCGGTGGACTCCGACTCTGCATCGTCAACGTCACCGTCACTTTAGCCTTTCAACTTTATTCTTGTCAACGAAAATTGAGCATTTGATTAAAAGTTTTGTGTGATCGGATCGGAAGGTAGATGAAACTGTAAAATTGAATTCCTGGGCAAGTCAGTGGTAAACGACGGTGCACGTTTAACAAACGAATTTAGAACAAGCGTGTCGAGATGGAGCCACGTGCGAGACGTGTCATCACCAACTGCTTCGGTTTTGTCCTTTTGGTCAGTCTCTGGCCTCTGCACAAAAAGAGAGAGTGTCCAAAAATAAATTTCACCCCAACCTTTTTTATTTTTCATCTAATTAAAATAAAAATAAAAAACAAAAAGAAATCGCCTACCTACCAGTCTTCTTGAACAATTGCATTGAGCTTCACGACAGGGATGAGAATAATGTAAGATTTGTTTTTTTATGAAGGCCCACCTTTTTTAATATTGAATGGGCCTGGCCTTCTGTTCATGGGCTTAGAGAATCTCTTCTTTTAGGCACACGTCTCCGGTGTCAGGTGTACTCAACTCTTTGGTGCAGTCAGGAAGGGGATAATGAAAGAAGTGAAAACGAAGCAGCCGCTTTAGTGGTGAAAAAATTATAAGGTTGGCTCGTGAATTGCTTTCGTTTTCAAGGTCCAACATTCTACGCCATAACTGTATCCGAAATTCAGCAGAATTAGTACTTGCTCCTTGAAATAGATTCATAATAATGATAATGTATGAATATGAGTTGGCTTGCTGACTAATGTAAGATTTTTGCTGTTGATAGTTGAGACAGCCATATATCACCAAGATTTTATATGTTTGTTCTTTCTTCTATGAGAGATCAAGATATTAATTTCAACTGTAGCTGTACCGTGAGATATAGCTGGATGAAAGCAAGGAACCGGAGACAGCATCGATCTCTCAGTCTGAACAAAACGACACAAAACAATGTCTCCCCAGCTTGAGCCAAAAGGACTTCACTGTACACCTCACTTGTCTCTATGGCAATCCACCATAGGAAGAATCTTGCATTTCAATGCATCAATATTTTTAATTTTAATAAAGAATTGCCCTCGTCTTGTGATGTGATAATAGTAGGGATGAAGTTGTGGCGGCCGATAACGTATATGTACATGAATGTGACAATCCCACTAAGTCATACGTTTCTCTTTTTTCATTAATTAGCATGCTATAATTAAGAGTAAAGGTGGAACAAATCGGCCGGGTTAGGCGGGTTAACCCTAACCCGACCCATATTCAAGAGGGTTCAACCCAGACCGCTAATAAGGCGGGTCGGGTTGAACCCAACCCGACCAGCAACCCCTAGGTGGACTGGGTTCAGAAATGGCAACCCGACGACCCGCGGGTTGCTGTTTTGTCCTTTCTAGAGAAAGGACCGCCAACCCGCCGGGTTGACCCGCGGGTTGGCCGAAAAACAAATTAAAAAAAATAATAATTTGTTTTTTCCAATTACCCTTTTATCTTTGAAATATAGCCGTTGGAGGGGTCTTTTCGTCATTTTTTTCCCATTTTTTTTCTATAAATTGGCCCTAAACTCTCATCTTTTCTCACAACTCAAATTCTCAAATTCTCTTATTTTCTCTAATCTCTAATCTCTCAATTATTCATTTATTCTCTTAATCTCTTTGTCATCAATTTGCTCTTATTTTAATTTTTATTAGTTTTTGCAATTTTCAATTCATATTTCCAATTTTCCAATTTCTATATTCCAATTCTCTTTCTTTAATTTTTTATTTCTTCTACATCGATTTTTTTTTTCAACTACAATGGATAGATATTTCTCTCCCATCAATTTCGATAGATATTTCTCTCTCATCAATTTCAATGATGAAGAAAACTACTATCCTAGTCCTAATCCCGCTGATTTTACTAACATAAATGCAGGAGATTCAAATAGTCCCACAACTTTTCCAGTCTCAGAATCCGATACACGTCAAAATATGCTCCCGATTCCTCCCCATATAGCTCCCGGTGGTTCTAGAAGTCGTTCTCGTAATCGTTGTCCTCGTCCAACTTCATCTCCAGTTGAGGTGAGTTCATCAACTGTCGTCGAAACCGAAGACAGACACACATTAGATGTTTGGGCGCATTTCGACAAGTTTTATGAGACAGAAAATGTCGTTCAAGTCAAAAAAGCAAGATGCAAATATTGTGGAAATATTTATAAAACTGATTCAGATAATGGTACTAGTACTTTAAAAATGCATGTTAATAAACATATGGCTCAACATAGAATTAGAGAAACCAATCAAACTCAAATAACTAATATGGGTACTACTTGACGTTATAATTTTGATGTATATATGAAACAGTTAGCTTTATATATTGCTGCAAATGATCAACCTATTAATATGACTAAAGATAAATATTTTGAAAGATTTATTAAAAATTCATTTTTTTTAGGATTTAAAAGTTATTCTAAAACTGCAACTAGAAATGATTTAATAAAAATGTTTGGAAAAATGAAATTAGAATTAAAAAATAAAATACATAGTTGTCATGTTAGTGTGGCTCTAACTACCGAATTTGGAGTGGTAGAGCTAAACAAGATTATATTTGTGTGACTAGTCATTATTTTGATAATGAATTGAAACTAAATAAATCTTTATTATGATTTAAATTAATGGATGTGGATCATAATGGTCAACAAATTTATAATAAAATTTTTGAAGTTTTAGAAGATTATGATGTTCTTGATAAAGTGATAAGTTTAACTTTAGATAATGCAAGTGCTAATACTACAGCTATAGATTTTTTTAAAACTAATTATCATTTTTATAACAATTTGAAGTTTTTTCACCAACGTTGTACATGTCACATTATTAATTTAATTGTAAAAAGTGGTATGAAAACAATTAAACAAAATATTGGTAGATTATGGAATCTTTAGCTTGGATTACTAGCAGTAATAAAAAAAATGCTGAATTTCAAGACGCTTGTACAAAATCAAATATGTCTCCTATAACTTTTACATTAGACATGCCTGTTAGATGGAATAGTACTTATTTAATACTTAATTCATGTTTACCTTATGCAAATATAATTAGTTATTTTGTAGCAAATAATAGAGGTCCTCATTATTTGGTAGAAAATGATTGGCATATAGCTAAAATATTTCATTCTTTTCTTAAATTTTTTCACCAATCCACTTTACAACTTTCTAGTGTGTATTATCCTACAAGTCCGTTGGTAATACATATAATTATAAAAATTTCTGAGTTATTTACAAAAAACAAAAACAATGAAATTTTAAAGGCACTAATAAAGGCAATGGAAATTTTTTTAAAAAAATATTAGGAACCCATTCCTTTTCTTTATTGTTTAGGTGTTATATTTGATCCTATAATTAAATTTGCATGTTTAGAAAATGGTTTTGACATTTTAAGTGAAAAATTACAAACCGAAGCATATGTCAATCAAATAAGAGAGGTAAAAAATAGTCTTGCAGAAGTATATTTCCAATATGAAAACAGGTTTAGGAACCCGCAAAGAGGCGAAATATCCAGGGAAGCTGCAGCAGAAGAAACAAATAAAGACTTCTACTCTTGGAGTGCACTGAATAGGCCGAAGAGGACCCGAATCCGAAGCACAGCCTCCTCTTCAAAAGCACCACCACCAACAATAACAACCAATATAATGTCCTCCATGCAGTTGCAGAGTAATGAGCTTCAACAATATTTGGCAACCCCCGAAATGTTACCAGCAGATCCACAACAAAGAACCAATTTTGATGTCTTAGACTATAGGAGAGCTAGAAAATGTATTTTTCCAGTATTATCAAGACTTGCCTTGGATGTTTTCATTGTTCCTGTCTCAATCGTCTCATCCGAACAAACATTTAGTGCAAGTGGAAGAATTTTAAATGAAAGGAGGACTAAACTTTCTCCAAAAATGATTGAAGTCCTCACATGTCTTCGAGATTGGGAACGGTCGCGCCATCAAGATCAATACGAGGTAGTCAAAGATACTTTAATAGAATCATTTCAATTTTGTAATATAAATTATACGGATGAGGGAGGTCCTAGTGAACCACCCCCAAATTAGTTGTTTTGTAAAATGTAATTTGTAAATTAATTGTAAATTAATTGTAAATTATTGCACTCTTTTTTTTTTACCAATTTTTCTCCCATTGAGTTTTTCTTGGTGAGGTTTTTAACGAGGCAATAATTGTTATAATTTCTTATTTTATTTTTTGATAAATGAATAAGTCTAATTTTTCTTATATTACAATTTTATTGTATTAAAATTGAATTAATATTTGAAATGTTAACCAAAAAAAATTAATTTAATTGAATTATTGATATTTGAAAAGTTAACTAAAAACAATTACATTTATAATTTATTCATTTATAAATTGTTAATTATTTATTTGAAAAGTTAAATAAATACAACAAAAAAAAAAATCAAAAAAGAGGGTTAACCGGCCCAGCCCGTTGCCTAACCCGGCGGGCTAGGGTTGGCAGGTCGGGTTGGGCCAACCATTTCTCCAAACATGGTGGGCCTAACCCGGCTTGCCTTTGTTGGCGAGCGGGTTAGGACCGACCCGCCAAAAGTTGTAACCCATCGCGGGTCGAGCCGAGCGGGTTACTTTTCCACCTTTAATTAAGAGTTAAAATTTGGCTAGGAAATTGTCAGGCTGAGTTCTGTGTTGACTGTTACTACGGGTTAACGCTATTATAAAATTATATTAGTAACCACAAATAATAAATCTTTTTAATATAAAACAATAGAATTAACTGTCAATAAAATAAAAAGATAATACAATAAAATTAACAATACCAATAACTTGATCACGTGTACGAAATCCTTCAGAATAATAGGATGAGATCCAGATAATACAACTTTAGGAAGAATGTTGAGGCTTGTGTAACACACAGTTTCCTTAAAATAGATTTGCCTTTTTCACTCGAGTGCACAAGAATTTGAGCAGCGTTTGTTTCCCAGGACACAACAACAGATGCATAGCAAGAGAGGCACAACTCTTCTATTTGAACGAACTAAATAAAGTCTTAACTCCAACAAAAGGAAACCTTAAAAACTAGAAAGAAAATAAGAGATTAAAAGAGTTCTCAACTTTTTTTGGTGTGTTTGAAATGAGAGGAATAACACATTTTTATACTACTTAAAAGTGGGACAAAACATTGAATTCCACCATTATTTCCACATTTTCACTTTCCAATTCTTAAAACGTCCTCCATTAATCCACTAACCTTTTAGCTTTCAAATTCTCAATTTACACCACCACTTTCATTCCATTTATTTCATTCAATTTAATAAAATATTCCAACAATCGCCCACATGAATGAAATTTGACAGATCTAGACACAAGACGTAGTGATGGAGTTTAAACGGTTGGACTTGCAT